TTTTTTTCCCCCCCGGCATTAATCGTAGGTCAATCGACGCGTGCGAGCTTACGTTTCCGGGCAAACCGGATTTCACCGTACCGACTAGATCTGACAGTGCTCGATCTCCGTCAATGACAAACGAAAAACAGCGCGACGCGCTGCAGCATGACATGTAATTCAATGACCTGCGCGGCGCGTAGCGAATGCGATTTTTGAACGCATAATGATATATAGTGGCGAGGCTTGTCGAATCAAGAGCGAAATTTAGTTGGCGCAATTAAATTTCGCGATCACGTGTGACGGCCGCTTGCGAAAGAAATTCGCTCGCTCGTTCGTCCGCCCGCCCGAATATTTATACACGAAATAGTTCAATTACCTTTAATTACATCGGGATACTAACCGAAAGCAACGGCCGGAGTTCACCCGCGCTTATTTCACATTCGTACATATAAACGATTCATACGCGTCAATTCGCGAGATCTCGTCGAGTATGCGAGATCTCGCGATAACGAGATTACCCCGATCGGACTGACAATCCGCTACGCAGACCGATATAACTCCGCGAGGAGGATGTCCATCCTGTGCAATTTTAATAAGCGATAATATCCAGAGCCGGGGTTAAACGTTTAATTACGCGTCGTTGACTCGGATCGATGGTAACTCCGTCGGAGTAAGCCTTCCTCGTTCCGCGTTTCGTCCCGTCGACGACGCTCGTGATCCGCTCGTTCTCGCCGCAGGCGCGATCTCAGCCGGCGAACGAGAAAAAAGCTCCCTCCTATACGATCGACGAGCACGGCGACGTGGAGGACGACGACGACGCGACTAACTCGGACCTCACTGGACGGTCGGAGTTTCACTTGTAATTAATTGAATTCCATAATCTAATCCGGCTTCTCTCCACGGCGCGACGGCGAGATCCTCGGTGGAGAGCAGCACGTTCGCAAATGAAGCACGACGTGCGACACACGCACGGATCTGTGCATGCAAATGGCGTCTTCAATAAGCCAGCCAGTCGATTTTCCGTCCCGATAAGGTCGCGATAAAAGGCACCCTCTGCGCGTGCAGCACACACGCGCATATGTAAGGACGGTTGGATCCTCCCGTCTATCCGTCCGTCCGCTCGTCCCGGGATCTCTTTCGTCGATCATCCGTGTTTTATCAGACCGGAATTATGCCACCCTATCCCGGCGCGCGTATTCTCGGACGACTTGGTCCAATCGAGAGAGCGGCCGAGACCCGCGCGAACCGAAAAAGGAGGAAATCTATTCCGTAGGAATATCGAGGACCGTCTGCCCTCACACCCATCTGTCCGGCGACGACGAGGAGGACGACGACGGCGATTCGTCCCTTCCTCGAAGATCGACGGCGATTCCGAAGGGTGCGGCCGACCACCGGGATTCCGGGCACGTAAGCTTTCCCTATTTATTGCACCTTTTTCGGCCGGCCGGCTTCGCCTAAATCATTGCGCATCCCCTTATTGAATGGGAAGAAGAACGAGATGCATGGTTTACAGCCGCGCGCGCACGGCCATTCGACGAGCGGCGTCCTCTACGCGCCTCGCCGCTCGCGCGTCCTTCTTCTCTGACAGCCGAGAATAAAGTTTCCAATATCCCATTCGAACGGGCGACCATCGCGCTCTCGAGGAAAAGAGTCCGGGGGAAAAGTCTGGAAAAACTCTTTCGCTCGCCGACTCTCTTCCTCTCTCTCTCTCTCTCTCTCTTCTCTTGCCCTCCCGCGGTTACAACCGCTCGAAACATCCGCAATGTCGCGCTTTTTCCGAGGGAGAAGCGCTGGGAGGAACGAAAAGGTCAGCATCAATCGTCGAATGATTATTTTCACTTTCGAGTAACGACCGGAGCGCATTTTTGATCTCGGGGATAAGCGATGTTTTTTTATTTCAATTGATAATTAGCGACAGTGCAGTAAGCCTGGGGACGCAGGAACCTCCCCTCGGTAGATGCGTATCAGAATAGATCGATTGTTCATAATTCTCTCGGTTATCCTATACGTACGGGCGCTATCGCTTCACGTGACCGAGTTTCTCAATTAGAGATAAGGATAATTACGTCGGCAATTTCCGTGCGCGATATGTGCACCGTGCTTTCGCGCACAGTTAGATGGCGTGCAGAAGACAATGGACCGCTTCCCGCCACTCTCGGTATCACGCCGGCGCGATTGTACGGGCGATGTAATGTCGCGAGCGCGAGCTGGAAGCAGCTATTTCGAGAGATAGATTTCCCGCAAGTAGAATCTAGCGCGTTTTAATATTAGACCCGCTGGTTGGACGCCATCCATAACTTCGACCGCGCGGACGAGAATATTTGTGCGATTGAATAACGGCCGAATTTTCGTTCTCTCCTTCTCTCTCTTTTCTCTCTCTTGGCAAGTGACCGAACACAAAACTGTCAAAGCGATCGTACCTCGCGAACTCTCTTAGTTTTAAAGTTTTAGCGCGCATTATTTAATATTTTAGCGTGCGTATAATAAACATTTTCTAATTTTCTAATCACCGATAACGCACGCCGTAAACTCTTCCGGCTTTAATTCGGTTCAATCGCGCGCATCTTTCCTCCCTCTATTTTGCTTTCAAATAATAAAGGGAAAAAAGGTGAACGCGCGCCATGCGTTTCTTTTGGGCCGATCGCGACGCAACGAGGAGGTTAATTTGGCCGAGTTTGAAAGCACGCTTGGCCGGTGACCTTACGCAGTCAAATATGCGTCTCGCATCGGAACGTCGGGAATCGTGAGGGCCGACCCGTCGCGAGAGGTCGAGATTCGCCGGTCAACCGTGCGAAAGAGGGTAAAAGGGATCCTCTCTCCGTACGACCCGTCGGCAGTCCTTTTTTCGTACCCGACGAGGTACGAAAATCCAAAAGGGTTGCTATTTTTTCTCCCCTCCTTGACTAAGGAAGCCGGCGGAAAATTCTTTGAAAGCGGCAGCCGGTGCCGCGGATTACTTTGCGTTGCCTCGCGGAGACCGAAAGGGGGTTGATCAAAGGATACGATCGAGGTAGGTTGAGGTAATATCCGGCGATCCAGGTGTTAATGAAGGGAGTTCAAAGGACGCTCTCCAACAGGCCGCGACAAGTAAAAAAGGGCCATCGACGCGCCTCTCGAAGGAACCGACGGGTCGGAGGAGCCGCAGGATTTCCCTCGATCATGGCCGTTGGATAAAGCATAAATACGACGTGACGGATATCACGGAGACAGGGAGCGACGGAGAGAATGGGAGAGATGGACGTACACGTTTCGGCTTTCATTCTACCTCCGCCGGTGTCTTCTACCGTAACGCAAATATCTTCGCGAGTAATTTCTGCCGAGTTTCCACGATGTGATGCAAACCGCGAGTTTACTTCCACCCCTTTCGCTAGTTCGAGTGTTTTCAACTTGTAGACGTCTCTTCCTTTTCCGCCTGTTCTCCTTCTCCTTTCTCTCTCTCTCTCTCTCTCTAACGGAAACACATGGTAATTCTGGAGAGAGCTTTGCACAATTAAACTTCACGTCATGATTCCGCCCTCGCGTGCTTATCGCAACCGGACAATGCGGAAGGCGGTAAGCGGGACGTGCTTGGAAGGACGGTGGAACAATTAAGACTAATTGCAATGTAGTACAACGATCAGACGTTTTAATAGCACAGACCGGGGTATATTAATTCCACGTAAGTTCGGGCTTGAAACTTGAGCCGATTCCCAATTCGCTCACTGCGACTTGCGAACACTGCGAGGTGAACGCCTCGCGGTGGCTCGTATTCTCACTGCACTTTTGGTGCTGATCGCGGACGTTTAGCTTCAAGTTTTATTATTATCCGTTTATAAAGGTCCCACTCGGTATCAACGTGAGAATCGGGCGGAATTGACGATTACATTTTCATCGAGAAATATCCCGATTAGGATATTCCGTTCCATAAGGGTTATTGAAATAATTTCCTAATAGATTTGATCGATTCTGTCGATCTCTGATCGAGGGCAGAGCGCACTCTTTTGTTCTGTCAAAAATTTATTTGATATTTCGTTTCGTTTCGTTTCGCTATATCGAGGGCGCCGACTTTCGCTTCAGACGTGTCGTGCGTTCGCTTTGGATTCGTCTGCTCCCCTCATTTGAGGGAGTAGACGTATTGCACGGGATTAAATTGTCTCGTGAGATTTTCGCATCGTTATAGAGCGCCGTATATGGCATCCGTTCATGCGAGTTTATTTTTAATGAAACAATTGGCCCAATTAGAGAAGAAGCTCTCCGCACGTTTGGGAGTGTTACGTGGGTCGTATGTGACTTGCGGACTAGCTGTGTATATAAGACGTGCTTCGGATACATAATGACGTGAGATTAATCCTGTCCTTAAAAAATGCATGTCTCATTGTTGTCTCTTTCCCGCAACGTCGACTGATCATCTCAATGCGATTCGTTCCTTTTTTCGACGGTTACCGCGGGCGGTTGTCAACACGGAGGAATGATATATTTTGACGTTTTGACGTGTCTCAAAGTGAAATTAGATAAACTATAAAATAATGTACGAAAATTAAAATGACGATACGGAGACTGTTAAATTAACGAATAAATAACGTAAAAGGGCTCTCGAGTATGTTTGACCGATTGAAAGTCATGTGGCCTCGGGAACTGCCGAATGAACATAAGTGATCATAACAGTCTTTAACGCGAGGTTAAACGGAACGAGAGATGCGCGCGTGATTCCCGACTTCTTCGAGTCGACTGGGATGTGCGTGAGACAGACACATTATGTGAATCTTGAAAGTAATTACCACCTTTTATTTTTAGTGATTTCAAAAAAGAGTGGACTGTCTCATGCCGATAATTTGAATCTGATACGTTAACGTCTGTCAGTATAATATTTTCGTGACCTTTTAACCTTTCGTGATTAAAAATTAGGACGTCGTTGTTCAAGTAAAGATTGCCGACTTATAACGATCGCAAAAGGTTAACACGCTTTTATACACTCTCATTTTTCTCGCTGAGTCATTAATTCTCGTATCTAATCAGCGATGCTATATTTTTTGTTTCAGGTCTGTAGTAGAACGTGGCCGATCTTGAGTTCCCGCTATTTTGGTGAGTTGAAAAGAAAGATTTACGGTGAACGAGATATATCCTTTTTTTCTTTCTCGACCTCGTCGAAAGCGTCGTGGTCTACGATTCGCGATTTTTTACACACGACTTGCGAGTATACCCTCGAAGCGTTGTAATTTATCGTGTGCTTTTCTTTGAATCGTGAAGTATTATCACGGTCGCGAGTGTAGCGTCGTGAAGTGAAATGCGACCGACGTGGCACGACGACCGGACGTTACGGAGGCTGAATGCTGAGGACCTGGACAGATGGATATCGTGGGATATCAACGCGCAATGGTGAGCATACAATTTCAACGCTCACAAAGCGTTATGTTTCGTAGTGCGTAAAATGTGTAGACGTAAATCGCATTGATTTTCGATGACTGAGTCACCGTGCGAATGATATTGCGATATTACTTGAGACAAATCGAGGGATCTACAGCGCGCGTTTCTGGTAAAAAAAAAAACACCCGTTAATTAACGTAAATTAAATTACTTAATTAACTAATAACTGAGTAAATTAAATTAACGTAGTCCGAAAATAAGTGAAATTGCTACGTGCATCGATCGATCGATGTCTTAATGGCTAAAAAGGGAAATTGGATGAACCGTTTCTCGAATAAGATTTTCGTTATAATCAAAAAGAACGATCTTCATTCAATTAGGTCAGAATTGCAAATACGATGCATCAAATTACACGAGGTTGCTCCGTCGCGAGAGATTCAATATTTTTATATTAATATCAGTGATCAAATGTAATGCATCCGGCAATATTTAGCGTGCAACTTAACAATTACGGCGGAAGATTTCGCGAAACTCTCGCTCGTGTCACTCCGCTCGTGCGGCAAGTTTGTATTCTGGTTTCACGACGGTTCGCTTGTTAACCGTAGCTTCGTCTTGGGATGATTCACATGTGAATCCGCCCCGCGGATATAAAAGGAACACGTGCAGCGCATAACGTGTCGTTATGTCGGCACTCCTCATCCGGTCGACGAGAATGTAAAGGCGCAAGCAACTTTTAGTATCTAAATCCAGGCATGATTGGCCAGGAGTTTACGACCGCGGCTTCGTCGTTAAAGCCGTTACAGTCATTAGCCGCCGTGTCATTGGCTACGTGGAATTAGAACTGCATGCGCTCCGCCGTCGTGCGAATAACAGAAACGAACTAACAATAACGCCGCGCGGGGCCGCCTTTGCAATTATAATTAAACACAAATCGCTTCACCCGCTCCGCCGGAGCTTTCATATAACTTTCTTGGTGCGTGAAATTTAATCGGTTTACCCACACACGTGCCTCTAATTACGATAAAAGTAGTAATAATTTATCAAGCACTGTCAGGAATACCCAACACGGCATTTCTGAGTCGTTTCTCTGCGGCGTTTTGCGCATCGAGACCGCAACGTTTCATTATTCCACGATTAAGTAATTCCAATGGTCTGCTATTTCGACACTTTTTCCCCGCGTGTCTATAATTAATGCGCCGTACCCGAGCAAAGAAGGTTAATCGGGGGGAAAAAAAATAATCGGGTCGAAAAATATTATCTGTCGTGGACGAGCGCCGTTCATCGTGGGAGTTCTCTAAAGGGAACGTTTGTATGCAGATGGAACTTGGCAGGCACGAGGGTCGTCGAGACAATTAAGGCATTTTTAGGTAATTAACCAGGCACGTCAGGCGCCGGCCGTCGTCCGTGCATCAAATGACGCGCCCTGTTTCTCTCGGAGCGATCTCTCGAAACTCGTGCCCGACCGAGCCAGATGGATTCGCCTTATTCACCGTATGCATACCGCAAAAAGACGTGTGTTCCGCTCCCGATTTTCTGAGACGGCGTTTTTCGGCAACTCTTTCGGACGATTGATATTCCTCGAAAGGGTTCCCCTCCAAGTTTCTTCGAAATTTTTTTAACGTTCCGCGGAATGTTGAAAAATAGAGGAACTTCGGAGAACGATCGCGCTTGAGGCTCTCGCGAGATCTGAATATTGTAATTTCGTTTCTGCGTTATTTTCTTCATCATTAACAATACCGGCTTTCTACTTTTCGTTACCACTTTGTCAAGCTTCAGCACGCGAAGGCGCTGGCCGACTCTTCGTCGTGTTGTAAAGGGTTCCGTGACCGAATTAGATCGGCGGGTCACTGTTCTAAGGGCAACAACGGGCGCGTTTAACGATGTTTCATTGCTCCGTTGCGTTGGCAGACGACGCGGACAGCGACAAACGTTGACAATGCGCGCCAGCGACGCCTTGATGTCACGTGCTCGGGGTGAGGACCACTACGACTTCGTTAGTTCTGTCACGTCGCTATTCGTCACAATTTTGTTTACCCTGTCTTTGTTTCCTTTCCTTCTCACCCCTTTTTCCCCGGGACACAGGAAACCGTTCGGGAGTCGTCACGGCTGATTTAGAGGACGCGCGTATAATGTTCCACTCGGTCTGTCACGTGGGCGTGACATTAGTTTACGGTCCTCGGCCAAGCGGACTGTCTTCGAAACGGGTCAGTGCCGTGGTATGTCTATAATTTGCAAGATAAAGGGAAACTTATACACCATTGTACACGCTGCACGCTGGCGTATCCTGTCGGCTTCACGGGGCGGCTCCGGAATTATGGAGGACAAGAACCGGCGAGAACAAAACGAGGCAATTCCTAACCGCCGTAGGGGGTAACGCTCGAAACCGTCTTGTTATCTTACAGATATTTCCTTCATCTTAAAACGCAATTCATCGCGGTATCTGCGATCCGCGATTCCAACGTGCGCGGATTTACCGTAGCGTTAAACATTTCGCGGTCCGATCAGCGAGCGATGAGAATTGCAAGGTCTGCAGACCGATTCACGGTGTCGGGAGAGCTGTCGCAAATTCTCAGAATTGTTCGTGGCGCCGTGGCGTTGTGTTACACCACGTCCCTCCCATATTTTTCCAACTCGACGTGCGTTTCACGCATACCGTGCCGTATGGAATTCGGCGGGAAACTCGGCCGGAAGATAATTTAAACGGTGTAAAAGTGATAAATACCGCGATGTGAAATTGGCTGTTGTCGCCGCGATCCGGCGTAATTTGATTCCCGCACTATTTTGGCACGCACCAGAGCGTAAGACCGTTGCGACCGATGCGTGAATGAGAATGCGTGCGAATGCGGCTGCACTCGTCCGGACTGCCCCTCGCGCATCTGGGCGGCACACGCGTCATCATCGCTGCTTCGGCACCGGTTCAAGGGTATCGGCTATTGCAGGGACTGATGGGCGATAAGAGATTAGAGGCACACGTGGCCCACATAGAGATCTCTGACGGAAGCACGTGGCTTGTGTCATCGGACAGAGGGAAATAGAAAAGATTAGGACCACGCAGAAAAAGAGAGAGAAAGAGAGAGAGAGAGGGGGGGAGGAGGGAGATCGTTGCGCTCTTATCGATAATCGCTGCTACGGCAGGGGGATTGCATTGGATTACGAAGGGTCCGAGGATGATTCGATTAAGATTCTTTTTTTTTACGCCGTCACGCCGGATAGCGTGCGACCTTTCGCTGTGTTAGGGATCCTCTACAAATTTATGTACGTAGATAAAGTGCGCGAAGTGGGTCAAGAGAATAATATGAAAAAACGTGCGTCACGAGATCGCGCGGCTGGAGATGACTCGCCGTCTGCTGCCGAATCCGCGGGTACCGTTGCCCTTATAATTAGGATGCGCGCGACCTTATCGCCGCGCGGCGGGAAAGAGACGGCGTCGTGGTTAACGAGCGATCATTTCACGGGGTCACGTGGTAGCGCGGCGACGGGGAGCGGTAAAAAGACGGCGAGCCCGCGCACCGTCGGACAGATACGAGAGAGTGGCTCTGGCTTTCCTCTTTTCTCGTCTTCCTCCTCTCTCCTCCCCTCTCCCTCTTCTTTCCGCCGTCTTCCTTTTCGCGCAGCGCCCCCGTTGAAAAACGAGAGTGTTTATCAGGGCGCATTTAGCGTAATCTCACCTCCCGAGGCACTCGCGTAATTAGGGTCTCCTCCGCGCTCTTCCCTCTCGCTCGCTCTCCTGCCGTTCTCACCACCGCACAAACGTGCGCGCATACGCTCTCACATGTATACGTAAATGTGAACGTGTATATACGTAAACACGAAGAATGCCGCGCGTGTGAACGCGTGTGTGCGCGCGTTGCCCACCGGTCTTGCTAATTTCTGTCTTTCGTTGCTCCTCCCTTCCGCGCTCTCCTTCACTTCCACCTCCCTTCGTCTGCCGTTCTCCCTCTCTCTCTTTCTCTCGCGAAACCCCTCTCGCCTTCTATACGATCCGAGCTTCAATTTAGATTGAAGCGGGAGATGGGACGTGGAGAGTGAGATCCAACGAGGGACTCTCTCCTGCTCTCGGGCACTCTATCTCTCGTACGGAGATTCTCCATCCTCTCTCTCTCGACCTTCTTCCCTTCTCTTTCCTCTGCTGCATCCCGTTTCGTATTTATCGGCTGCTTCTTTTTATCGAATCCGGATCGATCACGCGCCGAGGGTTCGTCCGACGGTGCACGCGCGAAGAACACGTCCTGTCAGCGGCATCTATTTACCAATCATTACGATAATACATTCGTCGTCGACGTCACGCGTTTAATGAGGGTAATTTGTAACGTGGCAATGAGTAAACTTCGGTAAGGGAGCGTCAGGTTCGACGAAAGTGGCTTAATTCGTGCGGAAACAGCGCCCTTCGTTTCGGATGCGAGCGTTGTTTCGGAAATCTTCGCGATTTTGAGGGAAGCGGGGAGGATGTTTTTGTATCGCGAAGGGGGACGAGGACGTCGTTAAGGGTCGTTGCGACGCAAACGAGCGCGTTTGTTCTGACGCGCGGCTTGCTCCCGCTCCCCCGTAGGGGATTGCGACCGGCTTGAAAATTATCGAACTGATAATGAGCACGGCACGGTTATCGCGTGATTTACGGCAAAATACCAATTTCCTCTGTATAGAATTACCGGGTGGGTGTAGAGTTTCAGGGCTGGGCAGTGCCCGGCTATGTTTGTTACGTTCCCATTGGGAAGCCGGGGGGGGGGGCATTGATCGATGTGTGACCTACATTTTTTGTATCAGTTGCTTTTTAATTGTTCCGACTTCCTCCAATCGCAGTTTGATTAATACCGCTATACCTTTACGGTCGTTTATTTAGTCGCCCCACTTTTTCCTTCCGTCCCACTCGGCACCGTTGCACTTCCGTCGTTATTTTTCTCGCATTTTTCCCGATCCGTAACGTATAACCCGATCAACGACGAGAGAGAGAGAGAGAGAGAGAGAGAGAGTCGCCATTATGCAAAATTCTCGTATACGCGCTTGTGCAATTAGTGCGAGTCGAGATTTCTTGTGCAGCGAACCTGCTCGATACAACGAAAAACAT